GTGGTCAATCTTTCTCCCCTAACTTTAGAAAAAGGAACAGTGAAGATAGAAAATCCATTAACTATCACCACCAAAGTAGCTGGCTTCCCTGGTTCCCATAGCCAAATATTTTTTACCAGCTGCCCCAAGAGAAGGATCCTAGATACCTGTTATTTTAAAGTAACGTTTGTTGTGCTTTTACTTACAATTGCTCATATAACTGTAAGTGACTTTGTGCAGGCTATTAACTTTGAAAGGTGGTACACAGCCTGCAATTAGTTAAAATAAAGAAGACGGACAACCTTTAACTGGCTGGCCATAACATTTGGTTTTCTGTTTGGTGGTTTGAATGTAGCAGGTGGGGGTCTGGAAGAAAAAATAGCACAACTCATCCCAAACTGAGGGGGGTACTCCAAAATAAATATTAAATCAAGAACTAGAACAGTTAAGGCTTGGCTCTATCATCCTGTCAAGTTTTTGCAGTAAGTTCTGGAGAGCCAATGTGGTGTCTTGGCACTCTTAGAAAAGGGATAAAAACATTATAAACCAAAATCAAACTGGCCAGTGGCATAATTGAAGCACCTCTTTTTTTGCATGATTTCTGTGTTAGGAATTATTTATATTACACATTTTTTTAACAAACAACTCAAGATGGTGAACAAAAAGTGATCGGAAATGTTTGCAGGTTGTAGTCAAAAATTTCAAGGTGGCAACAGTAATGATGCAAACGGATCTCTTTTTATGTGAATCACATTTATAAATATGTAAAATGGACAGAGCTTCAATTTCACCATTCCAGTTACCAGCTTAACTTTTTTGAATTATAACCTAACACTAATTCTACTTGTCTCCATTCTCTTAACCTCAAGATCAAATTTCATATATACCAGGGGTGTCAACTCATAGTGTCACGGCATCATCACGTGACGTATCGGGACTTTTCTCCCTTTTGCTAAACCGGGCGTGGGCATGGCCAGTGCGTGACGCATCAAGCCCATGGGCCGGGAGTTTGACAGCCCTGATATATACCATCTTCTAAGTAGGAACCATCCATTAAACTGCCAGGTCATTTGACCTATTTACGTGTAGTGCAGCCACTTACACATGACTGAGAAAAAGGAAAAAAGAAAGTGCAAATTTGCAGGGGATTTCAAATTTCCATATGCAAATTTAAAATAATGATGGTTGTTGTCATTAGAAAATGATGTTCTGCACTGAAAGGCAGATCCCTCTGCTTTCTCTCTTCATTTTCTCATCTTTAGAATTAGCTAGGCAGCTTTTAAGTAGACAGTTATTAAGAAGAGCTCATGCATCCTACCTATCCTACCCTCCTATTCAATTATTTTTAAATTGGAAGAAAGTTTCATTGATAAAAGAATTGTCAATTTCTAAATTGATGCCATTTCAATTTGCCTTTGAATTAGATGCATTTTTTGTGAAGGGTAATCAGAAATGAAGAGTACCCTAAATGTAGCAGCACTAATTATAATTATTCATTTTTCAGAAGACCAAAAAACAATAAACAAGGACTCCCACATTTTTTGTTTACAAAAATACAATGACTATTCTTATAATATTCAGTACCAAAATAATTCAAAACTTAGAAAATTCCATAGGAGCTAATATTTTTTTTAAACAGAACTAGATATAGAACATAGAATAATAGGGTTGGAAGAGACCTTAGAGGTCCTTTAGCCCAACCCCTTCCTCAATAGGAGATCCTATGCCATTCCAGACAAATTTCTGTCCAGCCTCTTCTTGAAAACCTCCAGTAATGGAGCACCCATAACATTTGGAGATAAGCCATTATACTGATTAATTGTCCTCACTATCAAGAAATTTATCCTTAGTTCTAGACTGGATCTCTGTTTAATGATCTTCCACCTGTTTCTTCTTGTCCTGCAGTAAGGTGCTTTGGAAAACAGGTTGAGCCCTTCTTCTGTGTCAGCCCCACAAATACTGAACACTGGTTTTGTTTCACCTTAGTCCTTCTCTTTATTAGACTACACATACCTAGTTCCCTCAATCATTCATCATATGGTTTAACCTCTAGATCATTTTTCTGCTCTTCTCTGCACTCTTTCTAGATTCTTAACATCTTTTCATATCTTGGTGACCCAAATTGGATGAAGTATTTAAAGTGTGGTCTTACCAGTGCAGTATAAAGTGGTCGTATCACTTCATATGATCCTGAAACTATTCCTCTATGCAAACCTGGACTGCATTAGCTTTTTTGGCAGCTATAGCTAGCTCATACTTAAGATATGTTTCTGCCTAAGCTAGTATCCAAGTTAAAACAAAATGTGTTGCTGAATCAGAACCAAAATAGAAAATTAGTAAAGATGAACATTGCTGAGTATTCAGCTGAATCCCACACTTTCTCACTATTCCATTCTGACTGGAATCAAATTTCAGACTTTTTGCTTATTGCTAGTGCATTAATTACAAAAAACAACATAGGTCAAAATTAAAATGGGTTGGAGGCCACCTTAGGACCTTCTATTCATACATTTCTGCTAATCCAGCACTGTTACTGAACTGCTGCACTCCCACATTGTTCCCCCTTGGCATTTAAGGAGAGTTCTTTTGGTTCAGTAATAGCACAGCTTTTGGCATTGACAAGCCATACTTTTAAATCCATGATGCTGCTGGGTTTTGCTGAGTGATATGCACTGTTTTCTCATTTTGGAGTGCTCCTGCTTCTTCCATGGAGTTCTTCAGTTGGTTTTATAAACGCCTTAGCAACAAATTCAGTCATATTCTTGTAGCAAATTTCACGATTTGGTAAGAAATTGGCTTGATTTTCCTTGCTTATATAAGCAGTCTATGCAAAATTTTGCTTCATCCCATCTCCCGTCCTTTGGTCTCTGCATCTTTCCAAGCACAGATAATGGTGGTATGCTGAAGCTGCTGAAAAAGTTTCCAGTTGCAACACTGCAGTGTCCTGCCATCATCACAGCTTTCAATGAGAATTTATTGGCAAGAAATGTAAAGTCTTGATGACCAGAGAGTTCAGAAATTTGCAAAGTGAATGTCACATTTATCAGAAGCAAGAAGTAGTTATTTTTATTTCTTTCTGGGTGGCGACATGGGCAAGGAGGATGTTTTTCCAGAAGCTGCTAAGACATAAGGAGAAGGCAGTAACTGAATGCCAATTTCTGCCTTCTCTTATTGGACAGTTGAATGAGTTTATGGTACTCTCTGCCTCTTCTCATCTTCCGTAGGTCACCAGGAAAGACAATAACTGATTGATCATCATCATTTCTGGCTTGAAAATCCTTTGGAGAGATTGGTTATGGAAAGAGTTTTGTGTAGGACTCTTACTCATTAATTAATTACATTCTTTGTGATTTAAGTCATTTAGATCCCAAATGGGTCCGAATAAGCTGTGCTCCTATACACTTTCCTCCAATTTATCTTACAATGGCTAAATGGGCTGGAACTCAGTTGCTCACCCGATACAATGCTGCTTAGATCCTTTTCAAAATCTTCCAAGCTCAGACTCCAGAATTTGATATATTTTAACTGTTATGTTTCAAAACAGCCACTATGTGGCAACAGCATGCTATGCATGAACCAATATTTCAGAGAAAATCTGTCCTTTTTTTGCCTTTCTCAAGGAATTTGTTAAAAGCATCCATTACAAGATTATATCTCAAAAACCAATTTACAGATAGTCCTCAATTTACAACCATAATTAGCACTGGAACCTCTGTTGCTAAGCAGTGTCAAGTGAGTCACACCCAATTTTACAACTTTTTTGCTGTGATTATTATGCAAATCTGACCATTGACTTTGCTTTTCAGAAGCCTCCCTGGAAGGTCACAAATGGTGACCACATGATCCTGGGACACTGCATCTGTCATAAATGCATGTGGGTTGCTAAGCAACCAAATTTTGATCATATGACCATACGGATGCTGCAACAGCCGTATGCAAGGACAATTGTAAGGTCACTTTTTTCAACATCATTGTAACTTCAAGTTACAATGGTTGTTAAATGAATGGTCATAACTTGAGGATTCTCTGTACATCTACACTATCAGTGACAACTAGTGGTGAATCCAATACTAAGACTTCTCAAGTAAAAAAAATACCCATAACAATAATTTCATGTGTCAGGACTTACAGAAGCCTTCCCATCTTGGTACTCACCAGAGGGGTTGGACTGCAATTCCCATCATTCCCAAACACCAAGGATGGGGCCTGTGTTAATGATTATGAGATTTGACATCCCACATATACCAAGGGCACCAGGTTGAGAAAGGCTCACCTACCAGATAGTAAAAATATCAAACTTATTGGAACATATCTCAGATCAAATGAGTACATTGAATCAAATATCTATTCTGTTAGTAAAGCAAACATAACTGGAACATTATAGAACATCATTGAAAAAATAAGTTGCAGCGTAAGTAAGAAGTTATCTGTATATCTATTACAATTCATACCACAGTCAGATAAAATTCTGAAATAATGGAGCTGTTTCAACTGTTTCCTAATACAAAGATGGAAACTCAGGTTACCCCATGAGGTGACTACATTACCTCAACAAGTTTAAACAATGCTTTGAAAAGTGATGGATAGTTATGTTTCACATGCCAAATTTTACATAATAGCTGAATCAGTTTTAAATATACAGTGACCAATCCTGTTTTATATTCCAGTGACAGTTAATTAAAAAGGGGTAAAAAACTAAAACAAAAGATATGCTTATAAAAAGGTAAAATGGAAGTTATATTTCAGTTTCACCTAAGGAGGAAAAATAATGCAAATAGTTAGGTTATAGATGGTATTTGCAAACAGAGAGATTCATAAATTATAGGAACAACACACGTGAATAAGCAGAAAATGATTACATAGCTCAAAGGGTTTTTCCATTTAATTTCCAGTCTGTCCATAGGAGCAGAAATAGAAACAGCAAGATGGCTGAGCCAGATCCAGGAATGTTAGAATTGCCCTTTTCAACATATTTTGCACAGAAACTGGAAGCATCTTGATTCAGCCAAGATAACATATTGCTGATGGCGTCAGAAATAATTCTTTTTCTTGCTGTCACCTGATTAAATGAAACTGACAAGACCTGTTGCTCAGGTGAGAACATGAAGGTAATAACTGGCAAGTCAAGTTAGAACAAGAGGCAGAGAAACATATTGATGCATGCCCATTACAGTTCTGGATAAAGCTATAAATTACTGGTGCCAGGACAGCAGTGGGAAAGTCAACAAATAGGTCTGTGCATTCTTGCTGATCTGTCGTGTTGATGCAATACATTATGTCACAGGAATATTACAATTTGTAAAAAATATGTTATGTTCCAATTGTTTCATGCAGCTGCTGATGAAACCAGGACTAATCTGAGGCTTATGGGGGAACTTGGCATAATGCCCTCTTGTTCCTCAACACAACCCTTTGGTTTTGCGATGCAAACGTCTCAATAATCAAGTTATAGGCAGCCAATTTCAGCAAAGCTATGCCACAATGGGGACTTCAGACAATGGTGAAGAATTATTAGATGAGGCCATATCTCCACAATGGGGAACAGGATGTACAGGGTAGATTATCAGATCCCATGGACATCAGTGGCAATGTTTCTCAACCTTAGCCTCTCTATGATGAGTGGTCTTCAATTCCAATATTTCAACAATCAGCACACTGATTGAGGATTTCTGGGAGTTGAAATCCAAATATTTTAGAATGACCAAGGCTGAGAAATTTTTTTGGAGTATTGCGAAGAACTGACAGAGATACCCTCTCTTGATGAGACAAAGCTTTTAACAAAATTGCTGTAGCATGTTCTTTCACAAATTATAGTGCTAGCACACAGTTCATTTGCATTTGCACCTTCTTCAGCTGATGGCAATGATGCATGAACATGAATTTCACTAATAGATACTTCACCAAGAGATGATCACAATAAATAAAACTTTCCAACAATTATAGACACAATGCTGTTCAGTAGTCAGTTCATATATTCAACCTGGGTTATTGATCAACTTCATGTATGTAGGAACTTTTTTGCCTGCACTTGTAAAAAAAACTGGATTGTCAAATAAGACTGTACAGGCAAAATATTTCCTTTAAAGTGTAAGTAATCTCTAGATTTAATGAACAAAAGTTTTCAATTGTATTACCTTTAATATCTTCTAACCAGTTAACCCAAAGGCTTTGAAAGGACAATTTACCCCAGCTAGCCATATCTAAAATAAACTCACTACTATTACAGAATTATAGGATATGTCATTAACACATCTGAAAAAAATTAAATAAAATAGGTGTTGAACTATAAAAAAGTTCCATTACATAAAAACAACTTCATAGTGTTGAATTACCCACTATACACTGAAGATGGAATACTATGATATTCAAATCAACACAATTAAAATTATATTCCCAAACCATTTTTACCATTGCAAGAATCTTAATTCATATATCCCACCTTTCCTGTTCATATTAAATGTAACATAATAGTAAAACTAACATTTGCAATTTCCCAGTTTTACAGATTTGTGGGTTATTTCCATAAGTAAGAATGTTCTAGATTGTTCAAATTTCTTATATTAGCTTCTGTTATTGGTGGTATGGAAGAGGGAGATTTAATTATTTGTTTTTTGTTTTTGTATGCAGATATTGGGATACAAAACGTTGCCTATCAGTAACAGAAGCATACCCTAACATAAACTGAAATCTACACTAAAGATAAATTCAGGTGAATACAGACATCTTCAGGTCTTATCATTTGTATATGAGTTTACCTTGGGCAGAGAAAACCACTGACTCTAAAAAACAAACAAAACTCTATACCCCTGCTACATTGAGGGACCACCAAATTGCTGACATCGTCACAACTTTGAGATCTGTCATTTTTGACTGAGGGTTAGTTATAACCAAACAAATTGTAAATAAATGAAGTCTTCCATTTGCTATCAAATATGTCAATAGTGAGTTTTCGGTGGTTAAGTTAGTCACAAACCAGTTAACTTTAATGTAATAATACTGTCATGTAATTAAGATTTAGGGTTATTATTTTGTAACTGTCTCTGTGTACAATCACTGGGTGGATTTTATATATTCAAAGAGAAGCCAAGAATAACACAAAAGTATTCCCTTCTCCAAAATCTTATCTAGCAATCTGACAATTATAATTTGCTCATTTATCTTTCCAGGCAGTCATAAAAGTAGAAAAGAAGCTAACTATTACATCAAAACTAAAATTGATTTTAATAATTCTGCAGCCAGAATGTCAGCATTATTCTTTGGTAGACAAAATAACTTGAGGAAAATATTGCTTTCAGATCTACTATGTTGCTTCTTCTTGTTTTCTTTAAAGTTGCAACTTGTTGAGCATGATGGATAGAAATTAAGAAAAGACCCCAGACAGCATTATGATCTCTTTTAAGTAGCTTTTCCGTAGCTGGAAAGGAAAACCCTGAAGTTCTTCTTCTTCCCTTTACTCTGTTATCCATCTTGCCATTCTCCTCCTACTCTTTGATTATACCATATCTAATTCTGGAAAATCAAATTTAATTCACACCAGTAAGCTGGCAGGAGAGAGTAAGTGGCTTGACATTGGATGGCAATGATTATACAGAAGCAACTTTGCTTCCTAGATCCCTTTGATCCTGATTCCTTTCATTTGTCATTCTAGAAAGATTAGTGGCTCACGGGATGGTATTAAAAATACAATTTGCTCCAGTAAACCCAAAGAATGAATCTCAGGGGGAAAAAAACCTGGAGAAAAGTATAGAGGTCTACTTCCCTATACTTTATTCCGAGAGAACCAGGTCATTTAGAAGTACAGTATCAACACTGAAACTCTGCTTATGTTGATGTTTGATACTTTCTCTTTCATAGAAAACAATTACAGAACCTTTTGGCCTATGTAACACTGAGAGTTGAGCTAAATGTAGAGAAAGGCAAAGAATCTGGAGGGGGAAAATAGAGGTTGCTTTCTCATCACATCAGAGAAAGTTATAAGTATCATTAGGTGAAAATAGCTGTTTCATCATAGAAATTCCATAATTTACATAGTTCGTATAGGAGGGAGGGCTAGAAAAAAAAATCAGAATTTTCAGTCACCATGTTTGATAATGGAGGTTATGAATTTCAGTCCCAAATATCTGGAAATGTTGGGAAAGTTTGCTTTAAATAATCACATGTGCTGTAGGAAACTGATATTGCAGTGCTTCTGCAACAAACACAATTAACCCAGGAAAAGATTGCTTTTATATACTATGACTCCTATCTAATGCACATTCACTGGGATTTTTAACATACAAATCTAGCACTTGTCACAAACTTGCTAATATTTTCTCTACTCTCAATGTTTTCATTGTCATTGGGAGAAAGATGTCTGCTCAACAGGGAATGTTAAGAATAACTTGCTTAGTGTCAGGAACCAAAGTAGAAGTCACGAAACAGATTTTAGAAGTATAGGACAGGACAGGTTGTTTATGGAGAAGAGATAAATTGCAAAAGAAGCTACACAAAAGAACTTTATCCACATAATTTCATTTTCATCTCCGATATATATTTTGTAGCGTTTACATGTAAGTGACACACCTGAATCAATGCAGGATTCTGGTGTATAGATGTGTACAGATTACAGTCACATGCTCCTGCAGCATAGAACAGGCAGAAACCACTTGATAACAAGAGTGTCTCTTAAATGGGGGTGGGGTGGGGGGGATAAAAGTTACGGAATGGCTAAGGCCTATGACATGACATTAGACTGGGCTTTCAGAGAAGTTTTATCTGTAATATATCCCTACTGCAGTTTTTGTTTCCCACTTAAATAACAGGAAATTATGCTGTTGTTTTATGATCAGGAGGTCTGAGGGCTGCAAAAAGAATACATGTGGGCTTGGAGGTATAGCTACCCTCCCAGTACTTTAGGGATCAAAACAGTGGAAAATGTTGGACACATCCCATAAGAGTTGTCTTCGTAGTAGTAGTCCTCGATTTATGACTGCAATTTAATGTTAATTTAATTTAGTTATAAATCATTACAGTCATAAGTCAAGGTATCCATGTGATCAAACCTGATTTTATATTTTTGCAGTGGTTGTTAAGTGAATCACTATGGTTATTGAATCTGCGGCCATGAAGCAAACAGTGCAGTTTTAAGTGCAAATCCATTTTTCCGAATGGGTATCTTTTGCCCATTGTAAAGGCGAGTCTGTTGCCAAGCAACTGATGCAGTCACATGACCCTGAGAGATGGGGGGGGGGAGAGAGACATTTTATGATGGCCAGAAGTGCTTTACAAGCCATATAATACCTGTTGTGAACTTGTCGTAATTTCAAATAGTTAAGCAACCTGCCGTAAATCAAGGACTGTCTTTTCCCAATGGTCATCCTCATGGTACTTATTGATGGGAATCGAAGTTGAAAGGATTATGATAGTGTAAAGCTAGGTCTCTCCTGCTGTAGGATTAGCTAATCACATGGCAGCTTCCATACCTGACTTCAAAGGTAAATGGTGATTTCACATGTTGGCAACATATCAGTATACCAGTTAATGTTCAACAAACATTAACTGCAGCAACATATAGCCAGGTATAGCCTTTCCACTATGCGGATGTATATCCGCATGACGGAAGGATTTCCAAGCTCTTGAACTTTGTCTTCAGTACAAAAGGTTCAGTCAAATACGTGTTGGATGCCTTCAATGCATTATTGAAAGCTGCTTAGTACCACAACTTCAATAAAAGCTGTTTTTGAAAGATCAAAGTACAGAATTCAAAGAAATCTGAACAGTGTGACACAGGAATATATAGTTTCTTTTTTATTCTCTTCTTCCTTCTCCCATCTGCAATCCAGATCAGCCTTAGGAAATTGTGTACTCTCACTTTTCAGCCTCTCTAATTAAAATTGAACACACCAATTCAAATATTTAATCATTTGGTCTTAAACCTCGCCAAACCACACAATGTTTTCTCTCAAAGCCCACCACTTCCAATAAAACTGGGTCAAGGAAAAATATTCACCTTTCCCTTAGTTTAAATATGTATAACCTAATTTGAACATACATTTTTCACAACCTTTCCCTCTATGCATCTTCCTTTTCCCCTCCCATTCAACAGAATTTTACTAAGTAAACGCAAAAAAGTAGTTCATTTGCATTGCAAGTTTAGGTTTAAAATTTTATTTGTTTTTGTTGGTTTTTCTTTAGCTTTGGTCTATACAAAAAAAAAAAAATATATCCCTCAGAGAAATAATAATAAAATGTTCTAAAGTACAATTGCAGCTACATCGATCCCTTTTCCAGTGGAAGCCTCAAGCCATCACATTGAGAGCTGCTTTTAAAAAATGCATTAGAAGGAGCAAGGGAATAGGAGGAAGAAGAGAGCACGCCAATCACCAGGAAGATTGCGAGAAAGGGAGGGAACAAAAAGGGGGACTGGATTAAAAATATGAAAAAGGTGGTCTGGTGAGCAGGAAGAGTGTTTACCTAATTTTTTTTAGTTATTCCAGTTTATACAGCAAATTAAAAACCTGTTTGGATTATGGTCTCAAATCCACAGATGTACCTGTTGGGTTAAAAAAAAAAAAAAAAAGGAAAAAACTGGACAAATGCAAAGCTGTTTATTTCTTGGTGAATTTACACCCAATGGCTGATTCTGTTTTATTTTTAAAAAGTTAAATAAAAAATGAGAGGGGCAGAATAGAAATATTCTCATTTTCTCTTCCTTTGATTTAGTTCTGATTTGTGTTAAAAATACAAAGAAGCAAATACAATCCTATTAAAAGAAAAACTCTACACCAAACACACAATCTATGTATGCATTTCTCTCTCTCTTACATTGTACTATCAGTGTGTGTTAGTTTTAGTGTATAGGTTTAAAAGTACTTATCAGGATTCCATGGCAGTTTAAGGATAATGCTCCAATTTGCAAGAAAAAAATATAGTGAATGTTAACAAAGAATATTGCGGGAAAGAGCAGAAAAAATAGCTGACTGCTAATATTACAATGTTGTTAGCTGCAGCACAGATTATGGACTGGGAATCACTCCCATAAGCCCACAGGAGGGAAACATGAAAATAAAAACCGCCTCAAAGGGAAAGGAAGAAATTTGTCATCATCTTTCTCAGGCACTTCTGTCTCCTGAACGCCCAGAACTTGAGCACTGGGGCTGCCCTCTTCTGTGTTAAGGAAACATCTGCTGATTAAGAAAAACAAAGGAAGGGAAAATTAGATTTACACCATATACAGGAAAGCAAGATTTCCCTTTAGGATGGAGGAAGCTGCTTTGAATGGTCAGACCATTGTCCATCTATCAAGCCCTGTCTACTTTTATGGTCCCCATCTGGGGAACTGGCTGGTCCCTGCAGAGAAACAGCCACTTCTGACTTCTCGAATCTCAGACTACCAAAATATAATGGGCCATATTTGTTATGTTGGCAGAGAATGATGAGAATTGTAATCATATATAATGTAAAAGACAGGACTGGCAATGCTCCAATCTCCACTTTTTTTGAATAGAAATTATATATTTATTTTAGCATGAGTTTAACAATGCAGCCAGTCTGTATGCTCAGTAAGAAAAAATACCCTCTACCCCGGTTTTTAAAACACTGGTTGGTTTCGACACTTCATGCATTTGTTTATACGTTTTCTTTTTTCATTCTATCCAGAAGTGAAAACCAGCCACAAGGATTCACAGCTACTAGAAGCAACTCATTAATAACAAAAAAGAGAAGTAATATTTAGTAGAACACACAAAGGGCATTTTATAAGCATTGAAAATTGAGGTTCCATTTCAAAATGTCGTATTTTTCCCATCAATGTTACCAGGTTGTTTCAGAAAATCATGAGCAATATGGTTGGAAACTGTCAGATGCAGAAAGCTGGAAAGAAGCTATATTTGGTCTAACCAAACACAAAAATGGAGTTCTGTTGTTAATAAACCTGCATGACTTTTATTTTGCTTACCAGTTGTCATTCATTTCTGAGTAATCACTATCAAGATTTAATTTTTTACTAAAGAAAGGCAAGACAGAAATCTATTTTCCCTTGGAATGGGAAGCAGTGATACGTTCTGCCGGTCAATGAAAGTGTGAAGGATGTTTAGTTATAAAGAACAAAAGTATCCATTTTATCTTCTTTTAGGTTTCATTTCCATTAACTGGCCAATTCCCAAATGCACTAAACTAGATGCTTTTACCTTGAGTCCTGCCCAACATGTCCAAGGGACATATTAGGCGAGCATGTGGTCTGGGTAAGGTGCTCGCACACCATCGCTGTATGTATCCATGGGGTAGTCTCCATCCATGTCCATGTGCATGTCCATGGGGTCCATAGGGATTTCCCCAGAATACATGCCACGGTATCCTCCATCCAATTCTATTGAAGCGTAAAAAAAAAGAAAAGGATATATCGCTCATATTTGGCAAGACAAGCAGTAAGCTGAAAATAAAATGGTTTTCTAAATCAGAATCACTCCAGAATTTCCCAAAATGAGCCCTTTCAGATTTGTTCAGGCGGTATCATTATATCATTCAGAATGCCCCTGTCATACTGACAATTAGAGTTCCAATTTATAAGAATTACGAGTTGGTGAAGCCTGCTCCAGAGCATGGCATTCCATTGCATGCTGTCTGTCCCCAAGTAATTAAAACAGTCTGGAATGTTCAGAATATAACTTCAAATGATTTAAGCCTGCTTGGTCTGAGAAAGAGGAATTTGAAAAATCCTTACAACATAATTGGAATATGTGGGAACCAAGGCTTCAGACTTTTAATTTAACTATCATACACGTTCCCACAAAGAGCCTGTTCAACTACCATACATAGTTCCATGAACAGTTTCAGAGAACAAACAACAGCTGAGCCTAAGAATGGGAATTTTAGCCAAGCCATCTGGTTATATATCATTATTCTCCCTCTCACCTGAAATGACAAGCCCTCTATACTCACCATCTGCATATGGTTCATGAATGGGTATCATACTCTGGGCCTGTGGAAAGAAACCCAACTGTTCTCAGAACAAAGACAGAAACTTACAACGGCTGCAAGTTAAACCAAACCTGCCATAAGAGGTGACTACTGAAGGATGCTGCCTATGCAACTGAGCTCTGGTTTCCCATGGCAACTTAATTATCTAATTAACTCTGATTGCTCGTAAGCAGGATAGCAAAAATTTCAGAACTCAGCCAAGCAATCCCAAATGTTGACCAAGAGAGCCTAGAGACATCCAGTTTGCTAATTTCTGGAATGATGCTTCCATGGGGAATGGTTAAACCTACCCTCAAAGCCAATGGTTTAGATACTAAGCTTACTTAGGGCAAGGATACACAACAGAAGGCTTAAGTCTTCTTTTATGCATAATTAACTCATCCCAATAGGCTACTCCTTTGGTATCTTTCCCAGGAATGATACTGCCACAGGAACAAATAAATGAGGGCAGGACATTTTTTAAAAATCAAGTTCTCCCTTAGTTATCATCCATTCATTGTCAAAATTTGTATAAGTGTTACCACATTAGCAGTAGTACTGCATTTAATGAAAAACAGATGTCGGATTGTAATCTCTGTGTGATATGTATTTGCTCCAAGCATGAGATAAAGATTTAAAATGGTTTTCGTCAAAACTTTGTTAAAGAGTCACTACTTTAAAGAAAGTTGGCCTATCAGTCAGCAGTGATTCAGGTAGACTTTAAGATAAATTTGAAATCATGTCCACAAATTTTGTTTTATATTGGCAGATTTCCACATGACTTCAAATATGCCAAGACTGCAATTTTCTGTCAGGGGATTATAACAGATAGAATTCCAGATATCTGCAGTTCTCCTAAGGACACACGTCCCCCTTCTAATTATGGTCAGTTCCCTTATAATCAAGGAATAAACTGCTTTGACAGAGAACTGAGAAACTGGGGAGAAAGAATTACGATCCTTCTTTCTACCTTTTTAGTAGGTGTAGGCATGAGGCTGGTAACAGACAAAATCGGAAAGTTATTACTCTCAGAACTGAAAAGAACTCTCTTAGGCATGTTTGAAGTTATCTGGAAATGTCTAACTTCCCAAATATTTCCAAAGTTCTGCCTTTGAAGTGAAATGGATGGTGACAGTGGCAAGGGGGTAGATTTTCAGGAGGGAGGGGCTGCATTCCAGAGGAGTAAGAGGCCAACTCAGCCTCTTACTGCTCTATGATGTGTGAGAGAAAAGAGGATGAAGACAATTCCTCCCTAGAAACTCACAGAGTATACCGTAGATGCAGATAGTCCTCAGTCTGGCAGTCTACAGATGTGAAAAAATAAAGAACTCAGATTGGAAGAATTGCCATGTGTCATTCTTGGTTTTGGGACTTATATGGATTCAGATTAAGTTCAGAGGCTTAGAACATGTACACTAATCCCTTGACATCTAAATAATAGAAAAACTCACAGCTTCCCAAGCAGCAGGGTCATGTTTAAAGAGTGAGTTGGTGAGTTCCACAGAGACACGTTTCCGATAGTCTGGGTTCTTGTCTTCTGAGATGCGGAACAGCACAGCAGCTGCATATGTAGCTGGAGAAGTAAGAAAGAGACCTTTAGCCCACTGGCTAAAAAAAGCTTGCCCTTGATCAGCTGTTGCATTGACTACCTTGAGAAGTATGTGAATGGCATTGATTTTTCATTTTTCTTTTCCACACTATAACAAAATCCACCAATTTCTGATAATAAAACAAGCTTTTTGTTTTTGCAAGCATTTTAGAGGCCAGTTTTACACTACAATTACTTTTGGCCTATATCACATTCTAGGTTTTTAAGAGAAGAGTTGTATGTTAGAATACCCTTGCATTGGAGGACGCGCATCAGTGAATCTCTGGTAATGGAAATTATCCAGAGCTTTAATATTACTATGACCGTGAGCTTTTGGAGTCAATTCTTATATAATTAACTCCTTTGCTGTAATAAGAATAACTATCTCTGGGCTCCAACATTAACAAAAGAATATATAAAGGACTACATTTGATTTCTAAATTATTTAGAACTAAATTACAATTTTACTCCTAGATGGTGATATTCCGTTACTAACAAATGATTCAACTACAATATAGGCAATCTGCTTCCTTTAAAACAGATTAAATAGGCGAATGCTATATTATTCCTCCACCTCATTTTTCACCTAATTTTACTGTTTTAACATTTGTTCTAAGACTTTTCTCAATCCTGGAAACATATGAAAATATATGAAGTTTCACTGGGGTACTGTGGGAAGGTACATACTATAAACCCAATGGTTAAATTAAGGTGGTGATGATAATGTGATCATAAAAGAATTATACATGGACATGTGTCTACAATCTTTACCTGTGCCCTCATTTCTGGAATGCAGAAGCTCCATCAATGGTGCTGAGGCACCTTCTGCATCAATGGCATCAGCCGCCTCTTTATCCTGAGCCAACTCACACAGTACGCCGGCTGCCACACGCTGGATGTTTTCCACTGGAGAATATAGGAGCTGTTCCCCCAAAAGAACAGGAAGAATAAGAATAAGCAAAGGTATAATCCCTTCTTGATAAATTTACCTACCCTCAAGTTGTCTTCTATTGGCAGTGCTTTGTCTCCTTCAGGAGGTCACTATTAATCATGATATACCAAAATTATTAAGAACGAAAGCAAACTGAGAGAAGGGTAAGCAATACCTTGATAATTTTAACTAAGCTATTTTAAAAAATAAACTTGCCAATCATGATTACATTTATTACAAAGGTATTGCAACTTTTCTATATTTTATCATCCCATGTGACAAATGTTAAGCCACAATGCAAAGAATATCCACTCACTGCATTGTCATGGGTTGGAAAAGCAAATAAATGAAATGTACTCTTTGGGAATTATCCACCTACTTAGTAGTGGTGGGTTGCTACCGGTTAGCCCCGGTTCGAGTGAACAGGTAGCAGCGGCGGTAGGAGGCTCTGCCCACCCGCCTGGGATCAAATGTGCTCTGTGCATGTGCAGAAGTGGCGCACACGCGAGTGAAGTGAGCGTGTGTGCGAGCTAACCAGTAGCAAAGGTAAGTGAAACCCACCACTGCTACTTAGGTATTACATTATTAATAATAATACATTATTAGGTATTCAGAGAATCACATGGAACCCATGGGCTTCCCACCTCTGTCACAAGCCTTGGTTTTTTAAAAAAACAATGGTTGAATTCTCATGTTCTGATAGCAATCATTATATCTATTCACTATTTTACTTCTGCAGAAATCAAACTCTCGGTTTCTACCCACAATTAACCGTGAATACTCCTCCCTTACAACTTCCATCCGTTTAGAAATTCTGACCTGCACAAAGAGAGGAATGGTATTTAGACGGAAGATTTCCATTCTGTTCATGGGGTCTCGGGCTAAAATGTGTAGTGCACCTGTGCAGCCTTCCACAATTTCTTCCATCTTTACCCCATCCTGAAGAAATAAGGTAACCATTAAAGAATGGGAAAAAAGTACTGCTCATTCCTAGGCTAGCATCCAACACCCAAGAAAACATCAAGTTCCTTTTTATAATGATTTTAATAAAAGAATTTAATATTAAAATAGATGATAAAAATAACAATTGGGGAAACAAATAAAACATAAGAAAAAAAATAAAAAATACAAAGAAAAAAAGAGAAAATAAAAAATATAATGAAAAAAAGAGAAAAAGATATATAAAAATAGCTTTCCCCTTCATCAAGATATACATAAACAATTTCTTATCACTTTTTCTAACATTTCAACCAAAGGTCTCCTCTTCAGACAGAGGAGGCATCTCAGAAGGCATCAAGTTCAAATTATAGTTGAGTAACTAACCCTCCAGGAATCCTAAATAAATAACTTCTAAAACCAATTAAGATCATAAATAGAAGTTGCTTATCTCCTCTTACTGTGTATGGTTGCTGTGTGCCTGCAGCTGCATGACGTTGAGCATCTTGGTGAGCTTTTACCAGTAGCTGAACAAGGCGAGGGATGACAGCAGCTTCTTGTAGGGGGGCATGATTGGCTGGACATAAAGCCAGGTTACGGATGAGGCCAATTGTAGCCTGTGAGCAGGAAGGAGAAGGCATGTCTTCAAAACACTGGTAGATGCAAAACTAGACAAGCTTTCAAATAGTTTAATCAGTTTTGGTGTGTGATTTTTGAAATTTGGGTCTAACAAGGAAAGAGAGGGATCAATTCAGTCCAGGATATTTTACACTAAATTAAATCTAAAATACAAGAGCATCACTGTAAAATTCCATTTCTGTCTAGCAAACAGAATTATCCTCCCCCCACCTTCCATCCTGGTTCATTCACACACTGGCTTTGTCTTTTCCTCCACAAAAGAAGCTTGATTCTCAAACTTCTATCATCATTTTGGCACTCCATGCCTCTCAGATTACTATTCTCATTAATAGTATCTCCTAAACATTTATGGGGGGAAATGTAATTATATACTTAGAGTACTTTACGTAAATTGTGTAAGCAATTTTTATTACACGCATGCAATTGTGGCTGATATTATCATAAAACCCTATTAAAGATAAGTGCTGGGTGAAAGCAAAAGGAAACTTACTTAACCTAACTAATCTACACCTCTGAACTGTGATTTGAAAGTAATGCTATCTTGGCTTGCAGCTTAGGGACTTAGCCACTATATCTCATAATTATTCAATGTGGTAAGAAGTCTTCTACAATCAATACTAGTAAGATTCTTTTCTCACAGAGAGGTCTATGTGGAAAAAATTAACCATAACCATGATCTGGAGTTTTATCAGAGAAGTTTCACTATGATCCTCACTCCTCACTCCAGCATTCTGATGGATAGAGATTCTAAAATTATGATATACTTCCCTGAACATAGTGATCACCCCTGAAATGTACCCAAATCAGAAATATGAGCCTGTTTCAGGGGGAAAGAAAGAAAAAAGAATAGACATGCATATGTCTGCCCATAAATACTTAGCTATTATCTCCCTGTTACTTTACCTTGATGAGTGGCCATTGGTTGGGCTGATTAAGCAGCTTAACAATGGCAGGAATTCCATAGTTAAGCCGCACAGAGTTCTGTGCCATTTCAGCCTCTGGATGCCGACTGGTGAGGTGCCTCAGAGCACACACAGCTGGCTCAGTGATGTCTTCTTTGTCTCCAGCTCGGAGAATAGTGTGTATGAGGGCTTCAACTCCATTTGACTGAGTCACCAGGGTTTTGTTCTTGCTGTTGTTGCAAGTCAAATTGGAGAGGGTACCAGTGGCACAGGTCAGCACATTGATATCATCTGAACTTAATTGGTTGACCAGAATCTTCAGGACACCATCAAGACCCTCCTTTAAAGACAATAAATAGCACAGAGAATTATTGCCTCAATCAGAAGCTAGGTCAATATAAGGAAGTCACCAGACAGGCCCACTAGGGTAGTACCACTACAGAGTTATTGGAGCAACCAGTCCTTAATTTTGGTTCAATAGCACAGTCAGGGAAGGCTCAATAGCAAGATGTGCCAGAACATATTTGGCGGATAAATCCTTTTACAACCTTTCATAAAGTAGTTATCCAAAGAAAAGTTATTGAGTAGAAATCTCAAATAACTAGATAAAAAAGGGCTGGGTGGGGCTTAAGTTTAAATAAAAGAGACTGTGGGGGAAAAAGCATTGTTCACCTGCTTTGTGGCCACATCTGAGAGGTTTCTTAGAGTCCACAGACAGTTCTGCACAAGTCTTGGACTGGAGCTAGTCAGGTGCTTTCCCAAAGCTTGCATACCACCTTTTGGGGAGAAAAAGAGTACAAAAAATTAACAAAAACAAAAGAAAGAAAATGGGAAAGATGGAATTTAAATGGTTTGAAAAATTTCTTCAGAATATTATGACCCCATTATAATAACACATTATAACAACACATTATGTATTATCTGTTTTTAGGGCAAGACAAAGTATAACTAGGGACCTGTTCTGTAATCAGCAAGACTTATATGGCTACTCATTGGTCTGCTTCTACAATAATGTAGCTAAAGAAGTAGAAAAACATGTATTTTTAAAGAAACAACATAATGTAATGAATTATTTTTTGATTGTAATGAAAATCCTCTTTTAATCCTCTTTTAAAATATACATTGAATCCAATTTATGCATATTGTTTTCTATTTATTTATTCAACGTCCAGTTTTATTATGAGGCAGATTAATTTATTTAAATAAATACATAAGTAACAGTAATGTTAGGAAAAATATGTTTTACATATGTCACTGAAAGAATATTTAGCACCTAATACTGATAAATTATTGTAAATGATTCTTTAAAGCAACAGAATCTTAATTTTCCCCTACCTAGTTATTTGCTTATCCTGCACTCCCAGAATTGTCATCAAGAGCTCTATTGTTTAGGGAATTCTGGGAATTGACCTATATAAGATTACATAATAATCTAATCATACATGTCCTCATCAGTTTGCAGTTCTGTCTCAATTGTCACCACTCACCAGCTTCCACAATGGCTGGCTTGTTGCTGGGGCAGACAGACAGGACTTTGAGGACACGGCTAGTAGTCCACAGAAGTTTCTCATAGGTGTAACTTCGCATAATTTGAACAAGAGCTTGGGGACCTCCATTGGCCAAAATTATGAGCTGCAGATACAAACATAGAGAATAGCATTCTTTCATTTCTCTGGGCAAAGGCAAGTTAATTGCAATTCATTGTCTTAATCATGTTACTTTTCCTTACTCCTGACTTTAGCTGATGACCCTGAAAATAAAGTTCTTCCTCAGCAGAATAAATAAACCTGCTCCTCAGAAATATGTACACAGGTGTGCCTAAACTAACACATAAGCTATCATCTGTCTCACAGGGGTGATTACCTATACTAGGATGATTGCCTTATTCTATGAACAAGGGTAAATTTAAATTACTGAACCAGAGTCCATCCCCCACCCACACCAAAGTATTTCAAGGTTAGAATACAAGTCCGTACTTTGCTTTCTTGGTTCCCATAGGCAAGCAGCTGCAAGCAATCAGTGGTGATAGCCAAGAATTTAGGATTATTCTTTGTCAGCAAGGGGACCATCTTCTGAAGACCATCAGCAAGGCGAACAGCCATCTTGGCACCTTCCTGGTACAGCAGTAGGTTGTGAAGAGTAGTGATGGCATAAAACAAGACTGACTCCACTGGAGAGCTATGGGTTGAGAAGTGGGAAGACAACAAAGAAGATTTTTGTTACTTAAGACACATACCAAATTGTATGGATATATGTGTTGCAGCCAAAATTACAACTGAAGATAGCTGACACCACAGAGTTTAAAATAAAATTATTTTGGTTAGATACTTATGCACCCTAATGCAAATCAGCCTTGGTAAAGAGGCTAAAGAAAATGGCATTTTGTACAGATAAAACAACAACAAAAAAGAACACACATAGTCATGGACTTAAAACTGGTCACTTAAAAACATTCAAAGTTACAGAAGATTCAAAATAACCTGTTTCCCTAAAAATAAGACGTCCCCCCGATAATAAGCCCAATCGGGCTTTTAAGCACATGTGCTAAAATAAGTCCTCCCCAAAAATATTTAATTGCATTCGCAGCCGGTCCCCCCATTACCTGGTTAGGGTTAGGGAGACAGAGCTGGAAATCAGATAAGACAGCAAGAGGAGCCCCGTCTTGCTCCATGTGCCCCAAAATAATAAACCTCCCCGAAAATAAGGCCAAGCGCTTATTTTGTGGTTCAAAAAATATAAGAGAGGGTCTTATTTTTGGGGAAACACAATAGTTGCTTACAACCCTGCCTCAAAATTCTGGCTGCTGTCTTATCCCTGATACGATCACGTTTTGTGTGCATAGCAATTGGCTTGCATTTACAATCTGTGATTGTGCTTTACAACCTTTTTTCCCCATCTTTTGGCAAAATAAACCACCCACTGAATAAATTGGATTTGCGTTTATGACATTATTTGCTTAACAACCATGTAATTTATTCACAACTGCAGTGACTCACTGTAAAAATGTAGTAAAATTGAGTTTGGCCACATGGTGATTCAACTTACAACTGCAATGACTTATGACCAAAATTCCAGGCTCAGTTGTGTTTGTAAACTGAGGACTACCTATAATTCTTTTAATCTAATAATGTCTATATCAGAAAGTAACATGGTACTCCCACAAAAAAAAGCCCAGCCAATATGTTTAAGGATCATGGAAATTATTCTCTAAAATTAACTACTCTAATTTATACTGAGAGTAGGAGCCTGGTAATGCTTTTTTTTTTTCTTGCCATTGATCAGACCTGGGATTTAGTATGTATAAAACTGTTGTTTCACTAAAATTGAGAAAAAGTTATCTCCAAGTTGAACATTTATACTATAAAAGAGTATGGAGCTAACTGTTCTTGCATTCCTTCATCAAGTTAAGAGAAAGAAAATGAAAATTTAGTAATGGAAAAGGTGAAGGCATGAGAAAGAACCCAAAGTAACTGCACTTTGAATTTATTTGATATAAGAAGGGAAAGAAAGATACTCAAGTAGACTTTCAATATTTTGTTATTATATTCTAAATCGGTCAAGTTCTGAAAACTTCGCTGTTTTTCTTCCATAAGAATACTTCTAAATTTCCCACATAATTTTTTCTTGGCCCTGAAGCAGGATAGCAAGCCACTAAGCAAGAGATGCGTTTTTTGCAATCATAACATTTCTGCATATTTAATTTTCCCTCATATCTAATATATTTTTCTTTCCATTTGTCAAGGTAAACTGAGGCTGAAATCGGTGATAGTGAACTGTGAAAATGTTGATCCAATTATGAGTCAGCCACTAAGAATTTATTTTTGTTTTCTGGGGGTTCTAATATGGTGGTGCTCTGGAATTTGTAAGACTTTTTCTACTGCAAGGAAAAAGCAAGAGTAAGCATGACTCAGCCATAGCTTGCTGAGACTTGTGTTTCCACAACAAAGCCAACTCCTCCATGTCAAAGCAGCTGCTCATCAGCTCCATTTTGTGCCAACTGGGTGTGGACTTGCAGCAAGACCTGCCTGGCAAAGGAACAGGAGAGACAGAAGAGTTGTGGGAACAACTGGAAGAAATATTGCACAGATTAAGTTCCCGTTGGGCCTGCGATGAATAGCTAGTGTCAGCATATCTTAAACGAATGCCCTTGGGGTGTATTAAATATTAAATTTAGTCAATATTCCTAAAGTAAGAGGTGCTCTTCATACATAATAGCAGTATAACAGGTTCTGAACTGGTTATCACTAGGTACATTTGAAAGTGTTGTTTTTGACCTACAGAGCCCTATTTAGCTTGCCACTTGCAATATTCTCTATATTAGGTACAACATAACCATCCAGCCTGTAAAGAATGCTAAATATTCCCTACTCCTGCATAATGAGTATGAGATATAAAGGAGAGTTAAAAATCATGTTTTTCAGTTTTGGCACCAACTCTCTGGAAGAGTTTTCCTCCGGAAACCTGTATGGTGCCCATCTTCTGACATTCAGCTGACCATGTTAAGATCATGGTCACTTGGATACCATATTATAAGCATAACAACAGGAGAGTAAATATTTTAATTATTTGAATAGTTCCACAATCATCTTTTATTTATTATATTGTTTACTCAATGCATTTGTTGTGCTATTTTTAAGCTGCAAACTGCTATGGGTTCTCCAGAAGTATGGCACTATAGAAACATAGTAAATAAATAAATGTGAAAGTGCCATGATTAGCTGTTAATTATATTAACTATTGTAATTATGGTAACTAGTTTCCTCTTTTTTTGGTCCCCAAATCCCAAGATAAAAAGGCTTTGAGAAGCTCTACATCAAAGACAAAATGAACATTTCAGATGATAGTTCTCAATGAAACCAAAAGAATTAGTAGAAAAGAAAGGGTTAAATAAATTAGTAATAGAAGCAGTTATAGTGTTTCTGAAAAATCAGTCACGTGAGTGTAGCAAATCAAAGCGCAGTTGAAAAATCTGATTTTAAGGCATGTACTTTTAATATTGTAATCAATGAAGTAATAGTTAGGAGTGTTCTGAATAGATTTTAAGATAGACAGAAGCTCTTTGTAGCGCCCAGAGACGGACTGTGGAGAATGGTTGTAGAGGACTGAAAGTGATGCATTTTCAAGATAGGGATATTTCCTTTCTTAATACTTTCAAAGCGGTAGTCACATGCAAAGACAGCATGGGACAATGCAAAACACACCATGTTCAGGAAAATTTAGGAGTTTGGCACTTATTTAATCCAAAGCACTAGGCAGGAGGGATGGAACTTGCAAAAATGACAAAACTGACCGGTTTGATCAGAGAGAAAAATGACAAACACTTTTTTTTAAAAGACTGGAAGACTTATATGGGTTTGTATTGAAAGAAGAGAAGACTGAATTGATGATTTATTGATTTAGGTATTAAAAAGGATCAAAGAGGAAGGGGAAAAATAAGATGGCAATTACCTTATTTTTTGGAATATAAGACGCACCTTTTTCCCCCAAAAAAGAGGGTGAAAATCTGGGTGCGTCTTATACTCTGAATGCAGCCCTGCCCAACTTCTCAAACAGAGGTTTCAGAGGCTGAAAAAAGCATCAGAAAAGAAGCCATCAGAGCTTCAGAAAAGAAGCTCACAAACAGAGCTTCAGAGGCTTCTTTTCTGAAGCTCTCTGTTTTGGAGGCTTTCAGAGGCAAGAAAAAAAGTTTTTTCTGAAACAGAGTTTCAGAAGTTTCAGAGGGAGAAAAAAAAGCAAAAAAAAAAAAAAAAAAAGCAAGGCACAGAGCTCACAACCAAGGAACCTGTTGCTAAAATTCACCTCTGGGAACAGCTGATTGGGGGTATTTGAATCGCCACCAATCAGCTTTTTTCTTATTTTCCTCCCCAAAAACGAAGGTGTGTCTTATACTTCGGTGCGTCTTATACTCTGAAAAATACGGTACTCAACAGAAAGAAGTGCATATGTAATTCTACGTTTTCTTTTCTTCTTTTCTGAATTTTTCCCTTAATCTTCCTTTAATTATATATGATTTTACTTTTTTCTTTTTCTTCTTTTTTTCTTTTGTGTTATATTGTCTTGTGTTTTGTGTGTTATTTTTATGATGTGTTGTTTTCTCTTTTTAATGGAAAATGTAAATAAAGACTATTTTTTTTTAAAAAAAGCAAAATTCTAATAAACACAGCCCAAAAAGATAAACCTAAAAGAGAAGGGCAAATTACACCAAGCCCCATGTGGACTATAATATTGAATAAAATAGATAGGAAGAGTGCATAGATAAAGCTATCGCAATAGTTCCAGTGATAAAGAAAACTGTTCTTAAAACCATGTATCTTCTCTTTGTAACATAACTCCTGGGACATTACCTAAGCATACGCACAAGGGCTGGGATACCCCCAGACTTAAAGATGGACAGCAGCCCTTCACGATGGTGAGACAGGTTGTGGAGAATGCTGGTAGTGCAGCGGGCTGTATCCAGGTCACTGGTGTTTTGCATGGTGCGCACCACAGCAGCAACAATTTGAGCAGACTGCATAAGAGCCCGGCGTGAGGCTTCTTTCTTAGATAGCTGGTTCACAATCATGGCTGCTTTGCTGACTACCACCTGGAGAGAGAAGAAAAAGAATGGAAGTTGTAGAGTGGAACAATTATTACAGCACTCTTCAGAGCATCAAGTTCTACAAAACTCCAGATTTCATGTTTCAGTGTTATTAATAATATTAATTTACTACTTCAGAGCCAAGAAATACTATCTGGTATCAAGTTGCCATCTGGTGTACAAGGTGGTTAATATTATCATCATCATAAAACAGTAACAGACATTTTGGTACCAATGATTCCATACACTCTCTGAAACTTTCACAAAGAGCTGAGATTTTACGAGCCTTTGGAAAGTCATGAGAGTCACCTTTATCTTGGGGATGAAACGGGAGGGGGGGGGGAGATGTTCCAGAGAAGGGGAAACCCATATAGGGATGGCAGCTGTTAAGTTCTCTCCATTGTATCTAACTTCAGAAAGCACTCCCTTTTGCAACAGGTTGCAACATGAAGAATCTCTCCAGAAAATGTATCATGTTAGATATCCATGGCAGGAATCATGTAGGATTTAATAGGGAAAGATCAGCATTTTGAATTTGCTAATTCAAATGCACCCTAATAAACTAATGCAAATGCACTTTTGTGAGCATTAAAAAGTCCATGTTATTGTGTCAACCAAGTTCTGGGTCCTGAATGAATAGATAATTAATGTTAATGTATCAAGGCTCCCTGAATAGCTGAACATTTTTTGTAAGCTGGTAACATTTTCTGAGTCCTATGGAAGAAATTATAAAGTTTGAAAAATATTCAAAATTCCATCTCTGATGACAATGTTACTCATTAAAAGCAAAAATCGTTTAAGCCCCTCCAAACCATACCTCTATAAGATAAAAGCCAGAGCTTTCCTTTGAGTGACATAATAAATATGAAAAAAAACAACGTTTTTTTGGGCTGATAACAACGCATTCAGCAGCTTCTTTGCTTTTCCATGGAAAGTATCACTTTATGCATAGTATAGGATTACTGAAGTATTAGTAATGCTTCAAATCATAGCCAATCAAGCAATTAGCTCTATTAAATCCCCCAGAAACCTTTTGAGACCCCAAAGGTCTAATTGCATTTCCATACCGGATCTTCATCATTCAGCAGTTTGGTGAGTTCAGGGATAGCACGAGTGGCTAGTTCAGCATCATCTTGGTAGTTGATGAGGTGCACAATGGCTGACTTGAGCATTTGAGAGGGTTCAGCCAATCGTTGTACATTTGTCTGCTGCCCCTCAACTTGGGTAGTCAGTAGAAGAGTGTGGTCTTCAGTTGTTTCTGGATACATGGCCGCCCGGATGCGCTGGGCACGGGTCATTGCAAGCTGGGACTCCAATTCCGCTGAAAGGATGATTGACAAGATAGGATTAACAAAGACAAACTCTAATCAGAATTTTTAACAGTCATATTAGGAAGTTCCTGGGACTGCTTCAGCTCTATGAAGTGTAGGAGACTTCACATCTGAGCAAAGAGATAAGGCTGGAGTTAATTAACTAGCATGATTAAGCAGCTGTAATACAAAGCTGTTTAATTAAAAACATGAAAGTGAGATGGGAAATGGTAACTAGCATTCATAAGGACCTGAAAATTTTTATGTGTGCACGCATGCACACAGAGACATACTGGCACACACAGACACAAAGGGAAGGAGGGAGGGATTAGGTTGAAGAATCTTAGGTTTTTGCAGCAACCTAGATTTCTCTGCAGTTCTGAGACGTTATTAAAAAGTTGGTGCTGAATTTTTGGTGCCTGAATTTTTTTTTTTTTTACTGTTTCTCATTAAATGGTTTCTCTACCCCATTCCCTGCTCTTTCAATATGTAATATTAAATATCAATATATAATATGAAATGTTTGTAAATTTTTACTCATCTCTGTGCTATCTGGGGTCCTTGGCAATAGGGGTTTCTTACAGTGAATCAGGGGTGAAATCCAATTTTTTTTACTACCGGTTCTGTGGGCGTGGCAGGGGAAGAATACTGCAAAATCTCCATTCTCACGGGAAGGATACTGCAAAATCCACATTCCCTCCCCACTCCTGGGGGAAGGATATTGCAAAATCTCCATTCCCAACCCATTCTGGGGGCAGCCAGAGGTGGTATTTGCCAGTTCTCTGAACTACTCAAAATTTCCGCTACTGGTTCTCCGAACTGCTCAAAATTTCCACTACCGGTTGTCCAGAACCTGTCAGAACCTGCTGGATTTCACCCCTTTCAGTGAATCACATCATTTTACTCAATCACAAAAACATAATCCTTTTTGTTCTTTCAACAGCCAAGATATTCTGCTTACACCTGAATGTATTGATTCACACGAAAGTTAAGAAGCAGTAGTTAAAAAAAAAAATCCCTGAACTTTTCTGATTACTTTTGTACTGCTTAGAAGACCTTTATGTTTCGTTACTTTATTTTGAAATAAGCTGTTTGTGTGGGCTTTTTTCATTTTACAAAGAGTAAGCTAAGTCTTAGGAAAAGTGTCATGACCACATGACCCAATTCATAAAATACAGGATCATTTCTAAAAGCTGACTGATATTGACAAATGACAAAAAGGGGAAGATTATTATTCCTTTCTAAGATAATAGTTTGTATTGTAACCACCCACATCAATGGCTTCTAGCATATATGATGTGGTTCTAAATCTTTTACTTAAAATTAAAAACTGACCAAGGCAGATTGTTATCTTCTAAGCGTGTGTTGCTAATTTCAAAGACACAGATTTAACAAGATCTACACAGTCAGGATTCAGGAATTATTAGGACAATTATCTTTACCCATCTGACTAAAAATTACTATTAAAGTATAGACCAACAATTCAACATTATAGTCAGAATCTATGTTAAAAAAAAAATACACTAATGGATATAAGCCTGTAAAGCAAAAATAAGCAAAAGATAGGCCTGCGAACCAGATAGCTTTCAGTCTATAATATCTGTGTCTGTTTTAATGCAGATAAAATACTGTTTCTTACATTCACATTGATAACCATTTTAGAGTATCCAATTGAATATAATGTAAAATTGTTATCTCACATAAATTTAAGTTCACAGTGAACTAAACTAAATGATACAGAATTTGCAGGATAGCAATTTTACTGCAGCAATCTTGGCATACTGTGATTTGATTAAAGACTACATTACTTTAAGATGGATATTTTCCCAGACTAATACTATTATGATAGAGGAATGCATGATCTAGGGAACTGGGAATTCTGGACTTTATATTTCCAGCGCATTAGAAAATACAAGGTTGAGGGTAGGCATTGCTTTCAATTTCTTTATGGAATAAAAGCAAATTGTGCATTTAAATAAATAAAAGCAAATATTACCTTGAGTCTGGGCCTGCCCTGATCCAGGTTGGCTGTAAGTAGTAGTTTTCTTAATGGTGTACTGCTTGCCATAAAGGTCATCTTCATCCATCAAGCCCTTGCTGCTCACTGATGGCACCTGGGTGTTCATTCCAGAATGGATACCTGAATCGTAGGTGTATGTTTGCTGCCATTCTGTCACCTTGATGGGTTGATCTATTATGTTCATCATATCCATGGCTATTCTGTAAAAACACCCATCCGGATTAGACCCTCAAATATAATGCATGCCATTAATAGTCAATCTTCCCAATGTCCAATTCTCAATAAATCTGCATTTGTTCTAGGCAGATTTTCAGAATGCAGTTTGCTGCTTTCTATCATTTGCTTCTAATAATCTGAATGACAAATTCCCTACATCAAAACTAAAGCTGTTCATCTTAAGATGTTTTTCGTGTCTCACACATGAACTCTCACCAAGTTTTTGCACTGCTATTTGCACTACTATTAATCTTCTCATTGTTCCCATCACCCATCTCCTTCCACTTATCACTGTATGACTGTAACTTTGTTGCTTGTATCCTTATGATTTATATTAATAGTTTCCTGATTGCTTATTTGTACCCTATGACTATCATTAAGTGTTGTACCTTATGATTCTTGATGAACATCTCTTTTCTTTTATGTACCAAGACAAATTCCTTGTGTGTCCAATCACACTTGGCCAATCAAATTCTATTCTATTCTATTCTATTCTATTCTATTCTATTCTATTCTATTCTATTCTATTCTATTCTATTCTATTCTATTCTATTCTATTCTTTAGGTTAACTAGTCTTTATAAAGTATAAAGGCTGTTGTTGCTCTACAGTTAAAACTCTTTCTTGATTTAGTCCAATGAAATGATTATGGTACTTCTACACAACTACCAGTTTCAGCTCCCAAAAGGTCAAAAAAAATGTATGATCCTCGCACTGTTACCATCCTCATAAAACACAGTGCCCCCAGTGAACCAATAGTGCTCCCTTCAGCTGACTGAATTCAAAGGTTGATTGATTCAACATTCAATGATTGAATGTTACATTCAGTGTCCAATTTGCATCCAGCAAAAGGGAGGAAAAACTTGGTCACTTACTTAAAAAGCATAATGGAATCAAAGCAAGACATTGTGACACTTTGCATTCAGCAGTGGTGATGAATTTCCTTCTAAACTGCAGCTAAACTGGAGGTTAAGCTAAACCACACCAGAACTGCAACATTGTGAGAACATGGCCATGAAACAATAGACTTTCTTCCCTTTTACTTTTCTCTTCCCTTTGTTACTTTTCCACTTACACCTGCACTTTATGAGAGAACAGTCAGTGGCCCCAGTAGCAGGAAGTCACCATTGCACCTAGTCCAAGCATGTATCTTTCTAAAGTTTGTGATTAGCTATGGGTGCCCTTTTGGAGATGGCAGCAGGATTCTCTCACAGGTGCAGAGGTAGCAGAAGGGATAGCAAAGGTGAGAGGAATAGGAAAGGGAAAGGAATTGTGCTTCGTTGGAGGTGGGATCTGGAGAAGACAGGTAAGTAGGAGAGGAATGAGGGAACGGTTGGTCACTGATTTGGCTCAAGTTCTTGCTCCATGCATCATAGAACATTTACATAAAGGCTTTTACCTTTGGAACAAATTATTTTTCTGTCAAACTGCTTCAGCAGCATGCTGGCCCTGATATAAAGGCTCCAATATGAAGATATATCCTCAGCGATAGTTAGCAAGCTTCCTTATTACACAGCAGCTCGTAGATGACCCGAGTTCAGAGCCTTGGTCCCGCTTCTATTTTAAACCCCATGATAATGATATACTATATATACAAACATATTTATCTCTTGTCAAATTTATTTCATATGTATATGGAAGCCAGCTTTTTTTTTTTTTTTTACTTTTCTCTGCCAGGGCAGCAAGATAAATATCTCTGCTTGTTAGGAATAGCTGTTTTACAGAACAGGCAGAGAACAGCTACCATGAATATTGGGAAATAACCTTTTAATATTATTTCTCATTAAGTTAGAAAACGGTGACAGATAAGGAAGGAACTGCCAGTATTTGAAAGGCAGAACAACAAGTGACTTTTTTAAACGGCTTAATTTTTCTAGGGCGTTCTCAGGAAACCTAAAAGAAATGCTGCCAGTTGTATTCCATGTGTATCATGAAATGTGCTTTTAGTATTTTATTTGCTTTGGAAAGTGAGAGGAGAGGATAGAAGAAACAGTGCCTACCGAAATGGCATTAGTTCTTCCTAAATAAAGGGTAGAAATGGAAATCTAGTATAAGAATTGCTTGATAAGCAACCTCCTGTCCCAAATAAATTTGCTAGCTTGTTTTCTGATGGGTAGAGACTAATAACAGGCACAATTAAGTGCTGCTCCTTCCCTAAAAACATGTTGCCCTTCTCCTCTGAGCAATCCATTGCCTCCTATTAAATCTGCAGAGTATAACTTGGGAAGGAGAAGGTATGTCTGATGCCATCAAGATAATCAACTTACAGGGCGTGATGTGCAAGAAGGGTAGGGAAAGCTTAATGGCAGCAATTTCAACAGCTGCCATTAACAATATATGTTTGAAAAAACTCTCCCCCCACCCAAGTAGATTAAGTTGTTCAAAATGCCACTGTAGTCAAACTGGAGATTTATTCCCTCACCTCATCCCATCTGGGGACATCACAGAAACCTTACTCATAAAACCTTGACCAGCTGTCTGCAGTCAAGCAACTAAAAAACGTGTAGCTCTAAATAGCAGCTGACTAAACTAACATGTTGAAAAGCTATGCTTCATTCTATATGCTCTTTGATGATCATTTTTGCAACTATTTCTACAGAACAACCTCTCCCTAACCTGACTGCCTCTAGACATTTTGTGGGTATTACTCCCAGATTTCCCAGATAAATTTACTAGTTTATGTGGTACAAATATTTTTTTTAAAATTTTTTAAAAAACGTTAATAGTATGATAGGAATATAATTACTGGCATGTCAGAGTTCATTTTATTTTGGAATACTATAACATGGCGGAAGAGAACTTAATTTACCACATGTCCTCTCATAGGATAGAACTTACCATACATCACCAATCCCAGTTTTTCTGTCTATAGTATTTTTTTTTTCTGTCATTGAAACCAAATCAATTTTCGTCACAACATTTGTGTGGCTGTGTTCCTTCAAGGCATTTGGTGCAATGTATACAGGCTTATCCTAGTTTATAGTCATCACAACCTTGTGATTTTGACAAGGTAGCTTAAGTCATAGCTCAGGTATGCTTTAATTTAAAATAGAGCTGTCTGCTTAGAGTCATACAATACTTTCAAAACAGCACTTTAACACTGCTAAGAGTCAGCTTATATAATTAGCAAAACACAATGGAAAAGTTTTGATGGACATGCATCTGGTTCGTACATTTTAGTTCTTACATAAAGCTAAAAAAATAGTTTGCTTAAATATGATTTGTTGATTTGTTACCAATAAGTCACAAAAATATTTTAGCGCCATATGTTAAAAGCCAAGTCAAAGAGGTGGAAACAGATTTTGAAAAAATAATCCTATTCAAATGATGAAGAAAATTCAGTTATGACTAGTTCTCATTCAACATCATTAAGTTTGGAGAAGAATTCTAGGCAAACTGATTATACATATTTAAATATTCTTCTACAAAAAACTACTTTAACTTTTGAAAATTAGCATGCTTACCCATATATCTTTTATGTTCAATGTTTTTATCTACCATCTGCTTTCTATACAGTGTAATGGCTGAAAAATGTATAATTTAAAGAGAAACCTTGAGTATATAAAGTGACCTAGATAAAAGCATATTATTAATTGATGGTATTGGAAATTCTTGAGCCAAATGTATCATTACACTGAAAAATCCTCATCACCTTCTGCTTTATTCCCAAACACCTTGGAAATTCCTAGTTTGCATTGCATTCCTAGCAATGATGTTGTGAGTGTAACAATCATAGTAGTCAGTCATTAAACTACAACTTCCTTCTGTCTCATCTAGCCAGATGCCATTTTTTCCACTAGGTTGAGAGCATAACCCTTTGACTGGAACCCATAATTTCTACAAATTCAAAGGTATCACATCAGAAAGGTTGTACCTAATTTCATGATGTTGGCCTGTCCAGACAGTACTGACTGACAGACAAATCCAGTCAAATACTAAGCAGATTATACCATGAACACTGTGTTAAAGCAAAGTGGTTCTCTAATGTCAGGGGAAGGGGAACTGGGCCAAGCGCTAACAAAAGATGCATCAGCTATGTTGATGATTAGGAAGAGAGTCCCTTGAGCAAACAGAGAACAACCGCCACACCCAAGCTAGGAATGGCAGTTAAGTTGCTTCTCATTTCTGTTCCCCAAGGAAGAGAGTTAGACAGGTTCCTTCTGCCAGATGGAAATAAATTGAAATTTATGAAGGAAGATGTATTCCTCCAGAAAATGGCTTCCTAGCTTGGCATTCCAGTTACTAGTATATCATGCAAACCGATCCAAAGTAATTATTGATGTGTTTGCTTTATATAAATAACTGCCCAGTGCAGATTTAATTATTTGCTTGAACCAGGTGGTCTTTTGCCATGTACTTCTGGAATGCTTCCAGAAGTGGTATCACAGAGCTTTTTAAATGAGTATTTAGCTATCACACTTTCCTCCCAATTCCGCATATAAAGAGTCTCAGAAGTTGTACTTTGAAATATCTCATCAAATGTGGATGGAAGAGGCAAGCTTTCCGAATACACTTAGAAGATGGGAGATTAATTATCTGGTAAATTGAGTAAGGGAACATGCAAAAGAAAAGAGAAAGGTAGCCTAAAGAAGTTCTGCTTTCCAAATTTCTGAATCTTTAGAACATTTCAATCAGTCCTGAAAGAAGACTCTGATCTCCAGATGCCACTGTGCTCAAAGCAGATACTTATTACTCTCACAAAATCTACAATGGCAAAATCTATAATGGCTGTATTGTTAATTAATTGACATTGTCGATTAGTTGGGTATCAGCAGTTGGTTAATCTTAGATGATCTCAAAAAGTTAAGCAAGGTCATGTTTCAATACTGGAATGTGAAACCGTCAAATCAGTAGGTTTGACTGAGAAAATGAAAATTATTCTAGAAAAAGGCAGTGATAAACTCAGTTCTGTACTACTACCCACATATGGTAAGAAGATGGGCATGAATGTGTCTATAAAATCACAAGGAATTGAATTTAGTTCA